ATTGTGTTTGTGTCGCAAGTTCAGTGACGCAGGTAGTTACGATTCTCTCCGGCCAATCCGTGATCAGCAGAGTTTCACGTCACGTTTTGGTAACGGTACGGTTCACTTGGAACCTCAACCGAGGTGGTACTAAAAAAAAAGTACCAGGTACTGTACCCAGTGGAAAACCCCCCAAAAGTGAACCGTACCGAGCCGTACCATGCAGTGGAAAAGTGCAAAAAGTAACTAGAAACTTCTGAAAAGTTTGGGGTTGACAAAATGTTTTAAAGCTTTTATTTTTTAAAGTCTCATGCTCATCAAGCATTTTGAAATTAATATTATGAAATATTAAACAATTACATTTAAAATAAAACACATTTTTATATATATTTTAAAATCATTTATTCTTGTGATGGCAAAGCTGAATTTTCAGCAGCCCTTACTTACTCTAGTCCTCAGTGTCACATGATCCTTCAGAAATCATTCTAATATGCTGATTTGCTGCTCCAGAAACATTTCTCATTATTATCAATGCTGCAAACAGTGGTGCTGCTTAATATTTTTGTGGAAACAATATATTTTTTTCAGGATTCTTTTTTAAAATTATAAATCTATTTACTATCACTTTTTTATAAAAGCATTTTATTAAAACATTTTCAATAAAAGCATTGATTTCTTTCAAACAAACAAATAACGCTATCTGACAACAAACCTTTGAACATGTCTTAAAGGGGTCATATGATGTGATTTAAATTTTTCCTTTCTCTTTGGAGTGTTACAAGCTCTTGGTGCATAACGAAGATCTGTAAAGTTGCAAAGACTAAAGTCTCAAATCCAAAGAGATATTCTTTATAAAAGTTAAGAGTCAGCCACACCTACCTAAAACGGCTCGTTCTAACATGCCCCCACATATCTACGTCACTGTGTGGGAAGATTTGCATAACGCCGCCCAAATGTTCATGCAAAAAAGTTATTTTATTCTCGCTGTAGTATTGTTGCCGTCACCGCCACCATGTCGTGAAGGCGCTATGTTTCATTGTGAATGCCCCCACATAGCTACGTCACTGTGTGGGAAGATTTGCATAACGCCGCCCAAATGTTCATGCAAAAAAGTTATTTTATTCTCGCTGTAGTATTGTTGCCGTCACCGCCACCATGTCGTGAAGGCGCTATGTTTCATTGTGAAAGCGAAACTACTTTGTTTGGCCTTCCAAAAGAGGACGATATCCGCTTCCTCATGCCTGGAGCTGATCCGTGCTGGTTGCTGAGGAAAAACATAAACTTCGCATTGTCAATCGCCGGATTGGCTTTCACCGTGGACGAAGCAGAGTCCAGCCCGGGGTCGTCACATGTGGTTGCCGCAAGCCTCCTTTGTCGAATCCGCCGGGCCCCGCTCACTCAAGCCTCTTTAGCAACATCATATGACCCCTTTAAGCTTTAAGAGTTCAGTTCAGTCTTCGTACAAACATTTGATTCATTGAAATGAGTCATTCAGAGTGCACACTCACTCCACCCACTGAAGACTGGGGGCACAAACTCCAGAGGGGGGAACTGAAAATGGCTTCTTAGTGTCCACTGTCTCTTTAAGGAACACCCCATGAGGAGGAAAAAAAAGGAAAGGACAAAAAAATGTATATCGGGAGAAATCTGTGACCACAAGCGTAAAATGAATCAATGGAGAGGCATTGTTTTGTGTGCACCACATAGATCCTGTGGAAAACAAACCTCCTTTCTGCTTCCTCTGCTGATGCTGGTTGGCCCAGAACCGATACAGTGTGGGCCCAGAGCCAGATCAACCAGCTCCACCGCTTCAGCAAAGCTGCCGGTCTCAGACGCCCAACTGCGACGCACAATGAATCAAACAAAAAGTACGGCGACACCTCATTTCCCCCTCACTGAGAGTCTCATTCAACGCCATAACTGACAGAAAAAGACAACTAGAACAGAAAAACATTGGCCTGAGTCCAGAGTTTTGTCATGTTTTATCTTAAAGTGTAAAAGTACCTTTAAAAAACACCAAAGTTTGTTAAAGTACATTATCTGCAATCAATTTATCTAGAATTACCTATAGCAAGCTCCCAAAAAACAGCAAAATCTTACACCAAATCAGTTGTTATATAAAGAAAAAAACAGCAGTTCTTATTATAGCTGGTGTCAAATCATAAATCCCAGTAGGGTCAGAGTCAAGCGGTTGAACGTGGCACACAGTTACGATACGATGCTTTTGGGAGATCCACACATGAATAGCACAGTTGCATCACACAGTTGAGTTGGCTGGCAGGTTTGGGATGAGACCACTGTGATAGCGGAAGCGAGACAAATTTTTGTCCCATGTGAGAGGCTGGTTTGTACTTGTTCACATTACATGAGCCTCACAGCACACCTCCACACAGTCAACTGTGTGCATAATTCAGATGAGCTGCCAGACAGATATTAAATGCCTGCTGTCTGCCATGTCCTTAAGTGAAGCTGTTTCTTATCAGATTGATCTGAGAAAACAACTGCCCTGTTCCACAGACATCCTCTGAGTTATAACGCTCCATATCTCGGTGTACATGTGACCATCATAGTTGCTCCACATCTTCATTCACTATCTTATTTAATCCTACTGACTAAACAGAAAGATATAACACACAAAGATGCTTTTATCTTGGATATGCAGTGCAGATGAGCCGCAAACTCAAGCCTAAATGCTTGCAAATCAATTTGTGAGAGAGCAAGTAATAAACAGAACATCACAGGTTCAATAAAAATTACATTTTTGTGACATTGTCTTAAGAGAAGATTATTATATATTGATTAAGGGAAAATAATTGACTCCTCCCGAAGTTATAAAAAAAAAACCCAGCAGATTTACAAAGAAAATGTAAATGGGCTAGGCAATCCGTGATGACATATCAAATACTGTTTAAGCCTCTACTCCATTTCATGTGAGATTACTACATTATCTCTACAGCCCTTTAAGAGCACTATTCATTCAAAGCACACCATTAGTATGTAGTGTGAGTTTTTAAATGCTTAGCTTGCAGTCTCTGAGCTCACTGTGTCCCACACAACAATATTGTAATGATTCAAAAAAGATAAATCCCTCTCTGGCCAATTGAAAATTTGTTTTAAAGGGGTCATGAACTGAGAAATCCAAATTCCCTTGATCTTTTGACATATAAAAGGTCATTGCACTATAAAACATCCTGTGAGTTTCAGAACTCAAAACTTCCTCAGTCTATAATCAGCTTACATTGAAGCCAATATGCCAAAACAGGTTAAGGAATGTGCCACTTCATGACAAAATAGTGTGGCTAAACACCACCTCTGCAGAAGAAGATGCTTCTAATTCATTCGAAACGCCTGCTTCTACATCGCTGCCTGTTTAGCCCCGCCCACCGATTCGCAATTCCAACATTAGGAAAGAGTGGATGAACTTTATTTTTAATGAAGTTTCAGACCGCATTAGTAAGGTCCTTTGTTTACTTCATTTTACCGTGGATTTGTATACAAACAAGGCACAATTTGACGCAGGATTTTCAACTAAAAGACGATGCTGTGTCAACTATATTGGATCCGACAGTAATGTCGCAACACACAAGTGTGAGTTTTTATTACGTGGTCACTATTGGTTTGTATGTTATTACAGGTCAAAACGATGAAGATGGCTCCAAAGACAACAAAACACTGTGCAGTGCCAAGTTGTGGAAAAACACAGTCTTTGCACTGCCTTCCTTCATTCCAACATTAGGTTTTATTACGTGGTCACTATTGGTTTGTATGTTATTACAGTTCATTTGATGTGTACTGAGTATTTATGCGTTTTTAACCTAAAACACAGCAGCATCCATCTGTGTAGGATGTACGCTGTCAAACATACACAACTGTTAGCAGATCATAGCAGTGGGCATTTACTTCCGAGTCTACAATCTGTCAAGCCTCAAACAGAGCGGTCTGATGAGGGGGGCCAAAACAGGACAGAAAATGGTCTATTACTTCTAAATGATGTTTTTTGATGTAAAAATCTTGATAACATTATAAGTGGACCTCAGAGAACAGTACAAAATAAAAAACAAAGGCAGTTCATGACCCCTTTAATGCATCCTTGCTGAATAAGAGTATTCATTTATTCTAGAAAGAAAGAAAGAAAGAAAGAAAGAAAAGTATCTTACTGACCCCAAACTTTTGAATGGTTGTGTACATGTTGGCATGAGATTACTGTAATAGTCTGTGTAATGTTACATGAACTCTTCACGTCATGACCATGTAAATCCTGTAAAGCTTTCACGTGAAAGGGAATACTAGAAAGGGATGTGATGTAACAATCTGCAAAGCAAGGCTTATATGTAACAAACATCAGTAATACACAACCAGATCATAAACCGCAAAACGCACACCCATACCCAGTTTTTTATTACTCAATCTGAAGGAAATTATATTAATGAATGCAAAATATATTGAAAAGGACCCGAAGTGCTGATGCAATATCATGAAATAAAGATCAATACATAATTGTATCGGCACAGCCATAACTTTTTCCGCCAGACTTTCACTGTTGTAATGATGAAACACTGATCATCCCACCCTATGACATAATCCTATAGTCTAACAAACATCTTCACTGCAGCATGTGTCTGTGAACTCTGGCTTCGTATGATTTTAGGGGACTATGAGCCAGACTATTGCATCTAAAAAGCTTGTGGGGCTGTACATTAATTTGTTTTCGAGAGCTCTAGAAATCAGAAAAATAAGGGTAGAGGGAACATCCTTTTTTTGATTGTCAGTCATTTTCAGCATACCATCTGAAATGCCTGTGTTTGTAACCAAGACGAATAGACAAACAACATGACAGTGAGCCCCAGCTGTGTCGGGTGGGACCGTTTGATTTGGGTCTGGTATAAATCATTGATTTGTCATCCATGACTGACATTGTACAATCCATTTGACCCCCTGCATTTCTGTTTCAACCACACTGTTATGCCATGCAATAACAATGGCTTTTAAAGCTACAGTATGTTTGAGGAGGAGGAGTCCGAGCTCACCGTTTCGCTGAGGAGGTCCTCTGCCCATCTGCTGGTTCTTGCCAAAAGGATCCTGTGGGTTTGGGCTCATGGCGCTGGTGTGCAGAGCTGAGTCAGAGTTTGTTCTGTGGCAGAAGGAGAGAGGAAGAAAGGAGGAAAACAGCTCGGTCAGTGAGCCACCAAAAAAACTGCTGAGCCGAGCCATGCCAACATGACCCTTTGCCCTCGCTCACTGCCTTCATCAAGCAACTACACATGAAGAGAGCACTCTCAAGAGCACCTTACTGTACTCCTGTGCTTCTCTCTGCTTTATCAGGTCTGACCTTTAAACCATTATCAAGTGACGTAAAAAAAAACAAAAAAACAGTCTTCTTTTTTCTATTTGTAGAGGAAAAGTTCAAGGGTGAAGTCACTCTACATCACAATAATGAGTGAGGTAAAGGGGGGAAAAACAGATTAGTAGAAATAATGATCCCTGGTTTGGATTAGTTTGGTACAGTGACATATTAGTTTACGTAGAATAGCCGTCTGAGTAGAGAAACAGCACCTGTGATTGGCTTGAAATCATTCTGTTTGTATGAAGACTTGATCAAGAAACAGTTTTAATCAAATCTAAGGATAAAAAGCTGAGAAAAGGCAATCTGCAGGGGATGACAGAAAGAAGAAAAAAAAGACACAGGTCCAAAGGAGATCTGTGAGAGAGAAACTTGAAAGTCAAAGGTCACCTGTTAAGCTGTGATAATAATCTAAATCCAGGTCGTTTCTCTTCGGTCCATGGCGGTTGCTCCCTTTAGAAATGGAAACAGTCACGTGTTAATCACTACTGCACTGAGCCTGTAGCCCTGGCTCAGGGGTTAGTACAGTAGGACGAGCAAGCGAGAGAGACAAAAAGAGAAGAGAGCAGGGTGGAAATTCCTCTGTGACACCTTCAAGAAAACAAAAACAGAGGTGTAGAAATCAGAGCCTATTCCCCCAGGTTAGTCTAATACTGTGCAGCACTGATTTACTGCTTCAATTAGATTGGAGCTGCCACGTCTGAGAGCAAACAAAAGTGCTATAATATCTTCAATGGTTAATGAAGCAAAAGAAACACGCAGGCAACACCTCAGCAGAGCAATAACACTGGCAATTCAGGATATAGACTCAACCAAATAAACAAATACATCTTACTGGCCACAAATGCAATCGACAAGAATAAAAACCTTAATCTTTGTGACAGCCACGCAATTCAGAGACTATTTCTAAATGAAATGCGACCAGAACTTTATTGTGGAACTTGCTTTCATGACGCCTGGGATTGCTATGTGGTTGCTAGGGTAAAGCATGGTGCTTTCAACAGAAAGGTCATGGGTCAGGGAACACACATAATGTACTGTTAACTTCTAACTAATTAAATAAAACTACTGTTCAAAATGTTGGTGTTCCTAAGTGTTTTTTTTAATACTTCTATTTAGTTTTTAATTTGATCAAAGTTAACAGTAAAGACATTTGGAAGGTTACTAATTAGGGCTGTCAAATCGATTAATCGCATCCAAAATAAAAGTCTGTGTTTAGATAATATATGTGTGCGTGTACTGTGTTTATTTATATGCATGTATAAATGCACACATATATTTAAGAAACATTTACGTGTGTATATATTTTTATATTTATATATGACTTGTAATATATATAAATTCATATATTTCTTAAAGATATATAATGTATGTGCGTGTATTTATATATACATATAAATATACACAGTACATACACACACTATTATGTAAACAGACATTTATTTTGGATGCAAATCATGCGATTAATCGATTTGACAGCCCTTTTACTCCGCTTTCTATTCATCAAACAAGACGAAAAAAGTATCTTAAAAATTAAGCAAAACAACTCTACATTGATAATAAGAAAAGTTTCTTGGGCACTAAATCAGCATATTAAAATGATTTCTGAAGGATTATGTGACACTGAAAATTCAGCTTTGGCATCATTGTAAAATAATATTTTTACTGCATTTTTGATCAAATAAATGTCACTTTGGTAAGCATAACAGACTTCTTTTAAAAAAAATATAGAAAAATCATCCTGACCCCAAACTTTTAAACTGCAGTGTATATGAAGCTAACAAAATATTTCTATCTGTAACCACTGATATAATAACTCAGCTATTTCATTACTCATGGCGAGTAATAACATATGGCAAGTGTGGCAAGAGCATAAAACTAGACATGGGTGTATAATGATCCATGTTCACAGTGTAGATGCACACGCAGTCCAGCAGATGTAGCCTGTGCACGCTGCTGTATGCCAGAACAGGGAAGCTGGTTCCCACTAAGAGGGTTAATATATTCCTATCACTAAGACAATAAAGAGAAATAATAAACAGATTTCCTGTAGCCGCTCTACTGACGGAGAGGCTACAGTATGCCAGACCACACTAGGGTGATGTAATACTCCACCAATACACTGCAGCCAGTGCGGGAAAAGAAAAGATACTCCTTGTAACAACAGAAAATGGCCTTCCTTCACATTTTCCTGTAAAGCTGGTCTGCACTCCGGTTTTAAAGTGTATTAAGGCTTAGCTGCATAAAGTCAGTGCCTGTCGAACACCCATGATGGAGAGATATTTAATATTTCAAATGCATATACAATTTCCATCCATTTTGAATTTCACTGTTTTAACAAACTAATAAACATATGATGCATTGTCAGTTATTAATAAATGTTTATTAGTTGATTATTAACTAATTGCACAATTGGATTTTATGTCTTTAAATCAGATTTTCAAAATGCATTTATTCGGATTGCTTAGAATCAGCATAAATATCTTTTATCTAAAAAAAATAATTTATTCAGTTAAAAAGTATGAACATGGATAAAATACGGCTAACTGTGGAACACGCAATATTCATTTAGTTCAAATGTATGACACTCAAACTAATACATTTTTTGAAGATAAATATATTCACCTGGTAAATGTATTTTTGTATTTTAAACATTCAGGACTGCTACAGAAATGAATGTTTGACTCACAAATACGCATCACTTTATGTCTATTAGTTATGTTAAAGGGATAGTTCACCCAAAAATAAAAATGTTGTCAGCATTTACGGACAAAAAAAAAAAAAAAAAAAAAAAAGTAATTTGAAAGGAAAACAGAACTATTTTACGAGGTGGCAATTTCGTACAAATTACTGCAATGTGAATTGTACAAAAATGTATGATTTTAAGGAAAAAAAAAAAAAAAAAAAAAAAAAAAGTTATTTGTGACTTTTTCACAATTCTGACATTTTTTCTTGCAACTGCGATTTTAAATCGTACAATTCTGACTTTTTTTCTCAGAATTGCGTGATACAAACTCGCAATAGTGAGTAATAAATCAGTAGGGTTGGGCGATGTCTACAAAATTAGGGTTGGGCGATGTCTACAAAATTGGCATCGGACGATGTCTACAGTGAAACATCGCGATGGACGATAACATCGTCCGGGGGGCGGGTTTAGGTGGTGTGTCTGAAGCGTGAATCCGTATTCAGAAAGGCACGGAAAACAAATAACGTTTGCCTGTTACATTACAGTACATACTGTAAAAGTTCACTTACCACATAAACAGAGTAAGGAGAGATGACTGAGGACGATAGCGAATGATTTGCAGATCCTCAGCACCACTGACAAACATCTAATCTTGTCAAATGTGTGGTAAGTACTGCCGCTCCATAGTATAAGCAAAGTACGTGCTATCGCGAATCTCAAAAGTGAAAGTGAAACTAAAAAGTGATCGTGCATTCAAAAGCAGTTTCAATGCCAGGCATAAGCGGCTACCTGATGCCCGCAATTTATATACAGTGTAATTGCCCAATGATATAACTGCGAGAGAAAGTATTGAAATATATATTTTCATCCCATCTTGTATTTATTCCCTTTATGAGTTCCGTAGTACACGTAATTTTCTTTCCGAACACGGTAGGCTATTGGGATCACGATGTCGGCTCAACATCGTGATGTCTAACAGCCATCGGTGACGGACGATGGCATCGTCTATCGGCCCAACCCTAAAAGTCAGAATTGCGAGATATAAACTGGCAATTCTGACTTTATTTCTCAGATTGCGTGATTTTTTCTCAGAACTGCGAGTTAAGTCGTTACGAGGAAAAAGTCAGAATTGTGGGATATAAACTCGCAATTGCAAGAAATAAATTCAGAATAAACTTCTCAGAATTGCGTGTTTATATCTCGCAATTGTAACTTTTTCAGAATTGCAAGGTTATATCTCACAATTCTGAGAAAAAAAGTCAGAATTGCTAGTTTGTATCATGCAATTCTGAACGATTTGTATCACGAATGGCAAGATGTTAACTCACAATTGCGAGAAAAACGTTGCAATTACCTAGCAGTATAGCATTATATAGACTCCTAACAAAAGCAGGTCTTGGTAAAAGTTGCTAGAAAAGGATTCATAAACAGATTGTTATATAAAGCTGACCTGTGGTCAAAGACAACGTGAAAAACAGATGTTTTTAAACTGGCATCAGGCAGACCACCAAAAACGGAGAGATTCTTCAATGAAAGCTTATCGCTATTGAATCACACTTGAGTCAGGACGAATGCCTTTCTAGAAAACATCCCAGAGGAAGTCTTGTCTGGGAAGAGCAGAGGCTCAGATCCAGGATGGGAGAGCGTGGGACTAAGAGGACAGCGCTGACCCGTGTTCCTGACCCAGTCCAGCTGAGCTCCACAGGGAAACGTATGGATGTTGCCTAGGATTCAGAACCAGCCCTGTTTACCCAGACACCAGAGGGACAGCTGTACCCCAGGGAGCGCTGAGCCTGAAAGTATCATAGTAGCACTGTCGTCCCTACGGACGCAACTGAACACTGGGGCACACTAAAACACTGACATTCAGATTGCACACCACATTAAATGGTAGTACTATAAGAGTCACAAATCCACGTGAGAATATGTTGTGAGAATAGTCAAAGAAAAATGTTGAAAGGAATGGACGTTAAAAGTCTCCAAAACACTTTATATTAATGTTACAGTATCAGCCGATCTTTCTCTCGATCATTTCAATGCCAACAACATCTTTTATTTGGCAACATACTACCTCAGTCCACTCACATTTCCTTTTCTGGTGGTAGATGTGAGGCCCTGTGAACTGAACTCAAAACACATCCGCCACCCATACACCAGGTTATTGTGTGAATAAGCAACAGAAATCTGCAAGTTGTGTGGTGAATGGACGGAAGGGGTTAAGGAGCTGTGTTGACGCCCTTTTCAGCTCATTAACCCTTGCCCAGTGTGTGCTGCGGTAGGTAATGCATCACAGATGTGTTGAGAGAGCTGTAAACAGAGACTGTCTGCTCCGATTTAAGAGGTTTTTAGGTCTTTTTTTAGGGTGAATTAAGATTTTTTTAAGACATTTATAATACTAAAAGAAACACTGTTAATAATTAAAAATGTTTTCTACTGAACCAATACTATTTAATCTACCAAAAATGCAAAAATGTAACATTTAAGTGTTTCAATATTTAATTTCAATTTAAATCTGCTTCTTGCATGATTTTCCTCAATTACAAACATTTAGTCAAAATTAGTAGAATTACAGTCAAAACTGGATGCATCAGGAAGCCTGATGTGATTTCAGCCAGTGTTTTTGGGAAGAAATTGTAAGTAAAAAGTATTTTTAAATTCATTATCCTTAATCCTTATTCAATAAATCATGAACAACTGTGAAAGTCATTTAGCCCCGTTAACAAATTATTAAAAAATAAATCAAATCAAACAAATTCCCTTTCATTCATCTAAAATAAAGCATGTTTTATCAATAACTATAAACCAACATTTGGTCCCAAACTAGCTAGATGCTGCCGAGTGATAGTTTAATTTAGGCTAAATTTGCAACCCTGTTACACAGGCTTTTTATGTAAATTTTTATTTTTTTTATTTTTTTATTATCTATTTGATTGAAACGCTTTCATTTTGTTGCAAACCTCAGAATATAATGCTCATATAATTAGTTTAACCCCTTAAAAACATTTTCTGAATGTTAAACATCTACGAACACGGAAAAGAAAAAAAAATCTATCATTTTAAGGCCCTACTTTATACTCTTTTCATGGAAAGTCCCACTGAACCTTCATGAACACTGCCCCTAAAACCATAATCACCGATTTGTTGCCAACTGGCCTTGATTTCTCCCATGAGCAAAGAAGTAACTAGTTCCTTATGCCTTTTCTTAACATGCGTTAAAGCATCACAAACATCCAAGCAGACATCCCTTGAGCCATTTTACAACTGCACAAACCAAACACTAGTAAACCTGCAGATTTTCTGTGACGTGTCACACTGTCAGACAACAAACGGCAGACAACACAAACACCACCAGCATCATTAAAAATGCCAAAAATCATTTGCGATTGCTCTCCGACTCCTCCTAAATCTAGCTTAACCTCTAATGTCCACGCAGACAGAAAACATCTGTTCGGCTCTTCGTTTATTCACGCGAGTTGATATTAGAGCACAAGGTACCAAAAGAAAAAAAAAAGACACAGCAGCACACCCACAATTCAATCACACATATCTGTGCAAGGTCAAACGGGCATACCGGAATAAAACAAAAACCAAACCAAAACATCGACCACTGTCATTAGCGAATGCAAAGAGCAAAGAGGGAGGGGGCTTACAAACACGCTGAGCTCACAATCTGTTCTGAGGATAGAGGAGGGCGGCTCTGAGGGGTAGCTAGCAAAAGATCTGGCAGGTTTAGTTAGTGCTGTTTACACTGAGAAGAGATTTGAGGAATAGCTGAACATTCATCCTTGAGGAAGAAAAAGAGACGGTTAGAATCAGAGAGAAATGCTGTGGTTAGTATTCAGGCTTCACCAGGACACAATTTGAACAAACAATGACAACACTCCTGAAGAAGAGAAGAAAACTGGATTTAATTAAAAAAGTTTAACAGGAAAGCAATGTAAAAACTTCAGAAATATACATTGTAGTGGTGAAGATCTAACTGTGCTTGATCCTCTGAATCCTATGTTTCATGATTCATAAGATGCCTCTGAGACGCCCCTTGAAGTGGAGTGAACCGCTCACTGTTTATGCATTTATAATGAAGCTCTAAAAGTTTGCCTAAGATCATATATTCAGCTAAACTCCACAGGAGAGCATTATCCTCTGCTACCCCCATCTGCTTCTATACACACCAACTACACTACTAAAGTTTGGAACAACCATGAATTCTTTGTGTTTTTCAAATGTTTAATGTTTTTTAATGTTTATGCCCACCAAGGCTGCATTTATTTTATCAAAAGTACTGCAAAAACAGTGATATTGTGACATTATTATACTTTCAAATAAATTCTATTTCTATTTGAATGTATTTTTAAAAATAATTTAATCCAAAGCCAAAGCCAACATTTTTAGCAGCAATTTCTCCAGTCTTCAGTGTCACATGATCCTTGAGAAATAATTTTAATATGCTGATTTGTTACTCCGTTATTATCAATTATTTTGATGCTGTTATTAATTAATAATGGTTCTTATCAATGTTAAAAACTGCTGCTTAATACAGAAGTTCTAAGAGGCCATGCATTATTTGAATTTTTTGTTTTGTGATTACGACCTAATTTTCTCATGATCTCGACACGAGTTGTTTTCTCGTGATCACGACTTAATTTTCTCATGATCTCGACATAACAAAAGCAGTTCTTTTAACAATGATTGCTTGATTTTTAAAATACAATGCATCGTGAGTCTACTGTTGCTATAGTAACAAACGCAACTTTGACGGGGACATTCTAAAATGCTTAACGTGGCTTAATGCGTTAATTTGAGAGTGTTTTTAAAAGACCAAACTCAGTATACACATAATTAGTAAATCATACAATGTACATCCAAGCAAATAAGCCCATAATAAGAACGCAATGCGTTTAATTACGAATTAAGCATTTCACAGATAGAAAACAGTTATAAGGAAAACGCTTAACGTGGCTTCATGCTTTAAGAGAGAGTTTTTAAAAGACAAAACTCCGTAAACATTCTTAATAAAGCATTCTATGTATAGACAAGCAGATGAGCCCAAAATAAGAACGCAATGCATTTTAACGCATTAAGCATTTTACACATAGAAAACCATTATAGGCTAAGGAAAACGTGTTGCGTTCGCATCCTGGACTCATCCGCTTGTCTGAATTTCTGAAGGATAATTTAATGCCGAAGACTGTGCTATCATTCATTCAGCTTTGCCATCAAAGGAATACATTTTTTTTTTTTTTTTAATTCACAATAAATTTATTTACAATCAATTGCAATACATGCAGCCTTGGTGAGACTTCTTTCAAAAACATTACAAAATTGTAATAATTCCAAACTATTATTACAAACAATTATACATCAGTGTTTGAACTAGGGGTGGAACGGTTCGCGGAAAAAAATCGAACCGTATGGTTCTCCACACACGGTTCGGCACGCGCTAGGACCACGGTTCAACGTAAATCTGACAACGAATCTGTAATATGGTTTGCTATAAATAACACATAAAACAAACAGGTTTCGGCTAATATATGTTTCTGTTGATGGATGCGCATTCTGGCTTCCCAATACATTACAACAACAGCGATGGAAAAAATAAAACAAACAGGTTTCGGCTAATATATGTTTCTGTTGATGGATGCGCATTCTGGCTTCCCAATACATTACAACAGCGATAAAAAAAAAAAAAAAACCTGGACAAACCATTCACTCTTGTTCAATGCCGTATGCCGTATGCTGGAATATGAGCATTTATTCTGTCATCACCCGGGTGCTGATAGCGCGCACGCACAGGTGAGACCTGAACAGCACACATTGATCTGTGTTTAAGCTAAACTCGTTTAAGCTTTGCCAGTTTAAACATTTAAGAGCCAGAAGATGCGAGCTCGCGCACGCAGTGAGAAGATTTGCGCGTGTGCTCATCCAAAACGCGCAAACCCTGAAACCCTTTCTGTACCTGAAAAATAATGTTAGACCTACCTAAAAAAACTGAAAATCACTGTTTATTTTATTTGTATCTTTACTCTATTGTATTTATTTGTGCTGTTGTAGTTAGATAGATTATTCTTATTTTCTTTATTTTTATTTGACAGTATAGATTTTTCCTAAACATGGCACATACCGAACCGTAAGTAAGTTGAACCGTTCCACCCCTAGTTTGAACTATAATTTAATTTCGCATTTCAATCTAAAAGCAATAAAATAAATAAGATAAAGCCCTGGGTTTCGTGTATAGTGTCGTATGTGAGCCGCTCTATGGCATATGGCTGTCACAGCAGTGTTTCGACACAGCGGGAGCAGAAGGCTGTGCCAAAGCTGATCAGGCCAACCAGTTTTCAGGTGTAAACAATGCCACAGGGCGTGGACTCTGAAAGTTTTACAAGTTCAAAAGTCAACATGGAGCCCAGGTAAGAAGGCATACTGGCTGCTGGCCAAGCCTGCATTCAAAACATGACTATGATGAGGAGAAGCTTCCTTAAGCCTTTTATTACTGGCTGCAATTGACTCCTCAGCAAACAAATGAGGAAAACCGTCCAATGGTTATGCCTCACGGGGGCTGGAACGAGAAGAGCGGCATTTGTGCAGAGCAAACGTGTGAGCGTTTGTGGTCAGAGAAAGGATTTATAATCTCCCTCAGAGTCGAGAACGACAAAACGACGTGCGTATGTCTCTTTGAACACTATTGTTTTATCTAACCTTTTGCAAGTCTTATCTATCGCTGCGGATGCGGATTTTCCCTGCGCTACAAAAACAAATGTGTCATTACTGTTTTCTTTTCAGGCATCTGTGGGGATAACCTATGCAAATGCAAAACACACATTAACACTCCCTCTAATGTGACATGATCTCTCTCGCAGCACCGTTTGATGTCACTACGATGGCTTCGTTTCAAGATAACATCATCTTTGCACTCTGCCCTGCAACTGACAGGAGATATGATCATGAAGTAGAATGTAACAATGTATGTAATGAATGCACAGACACATATTTGTTGGCGGTGGATGGGTGTGTGCAGGACTATATCGGTCCTAATAGCTTTAGGGGCAGAACTCACCTTCTCCAGCTGTTGTCAGGGGGAGGAGAAAGGTACATTGTTCCATATGGAGAGCTCTCAGCGTAGTTCAGTCAAGGAAATCCTCTGAAGCTTTCACAGGCAAATGTCACAAACACATATGCTTCAATCTTTGTTTATATATAACGTATAAATCTCAAAAAACATTTTAATTTCTCAAGACCATTTTCCAGACTCTGTCTAGTTTTGACTTTTACTGTATTTTTATATTTGAAAGAAATATTTAGATTTTTCATTAATTGTTATGTTTTTTTCCAAAGTTCTCCAAAGATTGTTTATTTACAAAACAAAATTAGCAAAAGCTGTAAATTATACATCTCTGCACTGCTGTTCAAAAGTTTGGTGTCAATGATATTTTTTCAATGCTTTTGATCAGAAAACTGTAAAACATTCATATTGTGAAATATTATTACAATTTAGAATGCCTGTTTTCTATTTGAATACATTTTAAAATGCAATTTATTCCGGTGATGGTAAATCTGAATTTTTAGCAGCCATTGTTCCAATCTTTAACGTCACATGATTTATTCAGGAATCATTCTAATATGCTGATTTGCTGCTCAAGAAACATTTCTTATTATTATCAATGTTGAAAAGCTGTTCTGCTTATTATTTTTGGGGAAACTGGATTCTTGAGTGAATGAAGGTTCAAAATTACAGCATTTATTTGAAATAGAAAGCTTTTGTAACATTGCATATTCTTGATAGTTAAAACTAGTTCTTTCAAAGAAAAAAAAATTTGATCCCAAACTTTTGAATGGTAGTGTATAAATGCAACTCAATCAATTATGCTGGAAAACAACGGTCATCTCATAAATTTGAAACATTATCTTTGCGACAAATGAAGAGGAATTTTTAATCTGTCTCTGGAAGACCGAGTTATCACATTTTGTTTTCTGACTAATATTAATTCAATCTATCACACTTTCTTCTTGTTACCTTACTGTGACTAGTGGACAATGTTTCAAGCAGCCCAGGCAGGCACAACCGAGTTCAAGCTGTATTTTGCAGGTTAGTTTCAATAGATTTTCTCAGACTGAAGAAGGGTGGAGATCGTGATTTCATATTACACAAACTTTTGATCTCACTTGATTTGTCTTGATATGGCCCTTTTAAAATCTCACTTGTGCTGTCCAAATCCACTCAACACTCTCAGAAAAGTTACAGGAATTATAGGAGCGAAAACAGTCCAGCTAAAGAACTCCTTGAGTAAACATTGTTTCCTCAACTCAGATCGATGTTGACAATGCTGCCTCGTCATGTCCCTCTGTGCCAAGACTCTCACATCCAAATGGGAGGCAGGGTGGATTTACAAGACAGAAAGCAGGACAGAGTCTTTCGCTGTACAACATCTGCTCAGGACTGGAAAACCTAGTCATCAGTTCTGCTGCAGTAATGAGAGACTGAGCTCTTCATGCCAACCTTTCAGTGGTGGAAAGAGTACTGAAAGTTTGTACTTAAGTACAAGTACTGTTACATTGCTGAAATAATACTCAATTACAAGTAAAAGTACTGGTGTAAAAACAGTACTTAAGTAAAAGTACAAAGTACTCCTCTCAAAAACTACTCTGAGTACTAGTTACTAGTTACTTTTTAGCCGGCGATATTTAATGAATTACCAAAAAATATGATCTATGATAAAAGACTGAACAAAACCCACTTTTATCTTATTGACAAAGTGCGTGAATTAGTGGTCGTGATACAGGAATTTCTAACTTCAATACCTTGAAAAATATCAATATGCCACGACTTCCCCTTCCCCTATCTTGCTCATAGCAGATTCACAGTTGGATAGGAGCGGTTAAGAATATATTCTTGTTACGTCTGACATCATGCTTCACCGCTTCTGGGTCCTAACGCTCTGCCAGACTAAAATATTAGTGTCTAAGACACTGTGAGCATGGCGACTGTAGTGTGCACTGCAAATTTTTAAATGCTTAGCTTAAATATGTAATATTAATTAAATAGTGCTCATAAATGGCTGTTTGAGATAGTATTCTCAAGTGAAATGAGTAGAGGCCTGGACCCGGAAACAGCAGTCCTTATGTCATACTTAACAAGAGGATTCTCCCCAAGCCGTCAAACTGACGTCATCAGAGCTTTTTTTTTGTCCATCCATTTTTTCAAGGCAATCATTATTTAAAGCTTTGAAATTGGTTTAATCCAAGTCTTCTAAAAAGACACATTTGCTTTATATGATGAACAGATTTTAATATAGGCTTTTATTTACATACATAGAAATATTGATCAATTACCATTACAAAAATCTCAGTCTTAAACATTTGCTCATTCTGTGTATTTGTGTCTTTAAAATAGGGTAACTTTGTTGCAAAAGCTTACAGCAC